TCCGTTGCTTAATTGTCTTACAGAAGGTACTATCTATTACCGGCGCAGTTTCTGAGATGACACTCATTAAGCTTTTATTGTATAAATCGCCGAAGCTAAAGAGAATGGTTATCCGGCACAAGAGCGATTTGTTCCGGCCTAGCACCGAGAAAGTTAATGTGATTTTGAAAGAGGTGAACAAATTTGAGCGTGCATCACCAAATGCAATTGTCATTTATGAAAATTCAGATGAAAATAAACTTTGATAGTTTGATGAATCTAGCTCAAAGAGATCAGGAGTACTTTCAGTTTTGCAATGTGGCTTTCTGAATTTAGATGTCGTGCAAGGCAGTGTTGGCTAAATCTGGATCATGTAACTGCAATTAAAGTTCCCTAAAAAGATTTCAAGTCCCTAATTAGAACACTTGGAAAAATCTTTCTAATTCAATTATGTCTACAAACTTTGTATTGTTATCTAATTCAAGCATTAGAGAATCATTATTAAAGACTGTTGACATAAATTAATGTCGACATTTTATCGATGATAATTAACCACAATTGGATTTATAAAAAGTACGGAGTAAAAACAACTGCTATAAGTTCTTTTTACTTTTAATTAAAGTACTTAAATAAAAATGACTGCATAGTTACGAATAACAAAGTGATGAATAGAATATGGTTCTCACGAGAACTAATTATTTATTTCTAAATATCTGGCTAAGTCTTTTGGCGTGATTAGGGCTAAGTCTTCCATATAAACTTTGATTGGAGCTATCATCACTATAATCAGCCACCAAAATAAGAAAAAGGCTGTTTTAGTACCATTTCTAATTTCAATATTTACTCCGATTATGGCATCTCCAAGCAGCCGAGCAAATTTGTATTCGAACAAAAACGAGCAAAAATGTGAGATCATACCCCTGATGTAGATTAAAATCGTCAATATTCACTTGGATCTGTATGGGTCCAACAAAACGTAGAAGTTACACCTGCTATGTCTGCCCCGAAACACCGATTGTCCTTGACTCCTTGGGTTCCATCAACCCTCGACACATAGGCACTTCATCTAAGTCTTTGGAGGTCATCGAACCCAAAAAAGAAATGTTCAACACTCCATCACATTGTATTTTGTTAATGTTTTTGGTACATCTAGAAAACATCCTATGTTTTTGTTATTGCAATGCAATTGTCATATCTTGTTTTGTGATGCCTCTTCTACATTAATTTTGGCATATATATATGGTGTTTTATCTTTATGTGAATTGAATTTTTACTACTCTGGCTATTGTCTAATGTAAACCTCCGAGTAAATTTTTTTACAGAAACAGCTCTGGCTATACTATAAATTTGTTCGGTGTTGCCCCCCGGGACATAGCCCAGTGGTGCAAATGACATAAGTGAGGTAGTCTCAACTGAGCTGATAACCAAAGTGTGAGGGTTCGATTCCTGCCTCTTACAAGGTATGCAATTGGACTCTTTATGGATACTAATATGACAACTTTTGTACCCTGACCTATTGAAGCACATATCGCGATTTACCTCCTCCACAATGCTCTAGGGGTAGGGCGGTGGGGGACCCTCAAAGTTGGGGTTCAACCCCTTTTTTTAATTTGTTCGGTGTATTCGATTGAACCCCCTTTTTTAATTTGTTCGGTGTATTCGATTTTTGAGGTTGGGTGAGTCTTCACATTGCAAAAGTTACATATCAAGTGGATTTGTTTTTATACGCCTCCAACCCTTGTCTGAAGGTGAAGTTAATATGCAAGTGAATTTCAATCAAACTTCAAAGTCACTTCAGGACAAAACTACTTCAGTAGGTGTCTTCTTATCCAGAACTTGAACACCACATATTTTAGCATCTTTCGACTCTCTAATATAGAATATGCCCTAATAACAATTAAAATTAGTTTTTTAGTAATTTTGATAAAAGTTAATGAAACATGGCTAAACTTAAAAATTTAACAACATATTTATTTCTAAACATTTCTTTTGAAAAAGGAAGGAGAATGATATGAATTTAACACACTAAGCCCATGTTTGGTACAAATTAAAATTAAAATTTTAATTTAAATCAAAGTCAACAATTAATTTTAACCTAAGATTTTATGGAATCCACAACCTTTCAACAATATATTTCATCAACTTTTATTAATGAAATTGCACATTAATTTTTACCAAATTCCGCTGAAACTTCACACACAGACAAAAACTTTTTGTCTGTGTGCAAGATCCAGGAAAGAGAAGTCTGAAACCAAAGACCGATTTATTGCCATTTGTCTGTGTGCTTGGAATAAAGTCTGCGTGCAGCATCCAATTATTATTTTTTCTTTTTCTGAA